CATTAGTCCCTTTGTATTACATGGTTGGGGTATTTATAGTGTTACAACTCAAATTGTGACCTTTGGATCAATTTACACGTGGCACCATCTCCTCGGCCAAGACATCAAGTCCTAGCCATCAAGTTGACTCTCCTAGCCTTACAAAGCATTAAATGTTCTTACATTGACGAGACAAGACGTAAACAAACTTTACACAAGAGTTACATCAATCATTTGTTAAAGATTTTTATCATGAGTGAATCCCCGCAAGTGGTCCTTTAATGAGCCTCGGACGTTAGCAGCAGGGGCCTCAGAGTGTTAGCAAGGGCATCGGGATAATAGTGAGGGCCTCGGAACCCACGGCTGAAGCTAGAGAATCGTAACCTAATTTAATCAAGCTGATCCCACCGTCGACACGTGGCGTCACGTGTTGATTCTGTTCATTAACCTGTAACAGAAATCATCATGAGAATATAAAAGGAAGAAAAGATATAGAGGAAAGGACCCCGAATCAAACACTACCAAACAGAGAATATGTAATTTCAATTTTTTAGATTAACTTTAATTATCAATTTTCAATACTCGTGTGTTTGCGCTCCTTAGAGGCATCTTGTTTATTTCCAATTGTATCTCTTATCAATAAAGCACACATTTTTGGGATTTTGTCTCAAGATGTTTGTTTCTTACACAATCGTCTGAATCTCTTTTTAATTGTTAGTGACAACCCGCGCGAAACAGAAAGATACAAAAGTTTTTCACAATAACGGTGAAAGGTAAGGACATTATGTACTAATTACCATTTTGATAATTTATTTGAAACTCATTTGTGATTTTTAATGGTTACAATTAATTTTTCCTTTTTCTTTTTGTTTTATTTTTAAAAAATGGTATATTAGTCATTTAACAATTTTTAATTGAGAAAAATGATAAAAAGTACATTTTGCGCAATGAAATGTGAAAATAATGATGAAAATATAAAAAATAAAATAAAAGATAGAGACATTTTATACAATAACAGTGAAAGGTGAGGACGTTATATTCTAATTATCCAAAATTAAAATACCGTCTCTTATTCATCCACAAGATCTTGGAAGACTTCACAAAAAATGTCTTAATATGTATTTTGTCTCTTTTTATCTATCATTTAGCCACAAGATTTTTGGATTTTCCCTTTTTGAATCCACGATATACGTTGATATTATTATTTACCAACGGAATATTAGCAACCACAAATCTGTTATTAATTTGAGGGTGATGATAATTACCAACGGATCGTGTTGTAGGTAAAGAGTAAATCTTTTACCAATGAATTTTCCATATCGGTAATAATCTTAACAATTACCAACCGATTTTTCGTTGTAAATGTCTATCATTACAATTGGTAAAAAATCAAAGTTGTAAACGACGACATAGGTACGAGGCATGGCAAAAAAAATTATTTATTTATTTATTATTATTGTTCAATAATTATAATTTTTTTTAACTTTTGACCAATTGAATTGAAAGGTCCAAAAAATTGTTTAATCGTTTATTAGACCACTAATTTATAGAAGACATCTTCAAAGATTTTGTTGTGAAATTTCGATGTGGGATAAAATTTCATTTGATTTGATTTGGCATTATTAAAATTAATGAATATCATCAATGAATTTTCCGTAGGTAATATTAATTAATCTTCACCTACGGAATTTTCGTTGGTGAAGAGACTGGACTTTTATTTTATTTTTTGAAAAAATTAATTACTCTCCATAGGAGAATGTTTGAATTTTTTAATTATTTCGTAGAATGTTTGGATAATAACCAATGTAATAATGAGCTGACATAGTTAATTTTTTGAGTAGTGTTAACATCAGTGATGTAACAATCCATTATTTCTCACATTTCTTTTTCTCTCTCCTCCCCATCATTTTCTTTCTTATAAAAATTGAACTGCACAATTTTATTATTCCACATAAACCGCAATATTTCATCATCATCATGATAAATAACATTATTCTTATTTTTTTTTTCTACCTACTACTTAAAGATATAATTTTCAACAAGTTGAAGCATTAATTATTTTTATCTACGTCGACTTTGGGTATTTTAAGGCATGACGGCTAGTATTTTCCAAATTGTAGTACTTTGGTATATTGACCATTTGAACATGGAAAATGATTATTTAGAAATAATATGGACACTTGATAATTTTTTAATATTTATAGCTGGCATAAATAGGTAAATCATAATTCCGGTAATTATATTTTAATTCTATTATTAATCAATCAAGTAATTGTAATTGAATTTCGTTCCATCCGAGTAACTATACTTAAATATTATTTCAAACAATTAACTTCACTTTAATTATTTCAAAGGTTGTGACTTATTAGCCAATGCTTGTCATTCATTTTATCAAATATTATTTGTTACAGTAAACAATATTCACCATATATTCACTCAATAAAATATTCTACACAAAAATTAATAAAATTACTTTACTTTTCAATCACAAATTCTCCACAAAATAATATTCAAAACTCTATTTCTTCTCCCAAAATGGGAGACAAACAAGCACTTAGTAGAACAGGTGAGAAGCGTGAAACGTAAATAAAAAATAAGATGATGTTACATTTCCTAACATTTGTTTAGTCTTATGTTACATCAATCAAATGTCCATCTCGTAGATATTGAACATATTCAAGGTGGATTTGGAGAGAGATAAGATGATCATGTCTGACTAGTTGAACATGTGAGAAGAGTGAAAGGTGTAAGTCCAATTAATGTGATCCACATAATATTATTAATGTATTAATTTACCTGATTTATAAAGTTAAAATCTAATTGGTCCATTGAGAAGTAAAAGTTTAGTGTTGGATTTTAAGCGCAAAATAATAGAGAAGAGAAATTGAGAAATCAATATATGTATTTAACGTGGTTCAACGATGTGTTAACGTCCATGAGGATTGAAGCGGAGATTTTTATTCAATATGAATAATAGGATTACATCATCAGAATTTATACTAACCCAAATCCATACAAGACTGTATAGTCAGTACAAAAAAAATACACATATACCGTACAGTGCATTAAACCCATAAAACCGAAGCCGTCGCTCCTCTCCACTCCAGGATAGACCATTTTGATCAAATAATTATGTGTTTCATTCTACATAAGACACACATACAACACTTAATTATACAATTTGATTAAAGGAGCCATTATTTATATCCACAGTTTATATATATACCCACTTTTAAAAATTAAAATTATACCTAAATAAGCATATATAAAATTAAATTAAAAATATATGTGTTTTGGTAATTAAGGTTACGTATTTATTAAGAGTAATTTCAACCTTCATGAAATTGAAATACGTATTTACAAATTCGAAGTTTCAAATTGTACCTCCAAAATTTCGAGTTCTCAAAACATATCGAAATTTAAGAAAAACAGCATGCATTTTCCGACATTCACATTTCGTATTCATTCAAAATAAATGATAATTATTTGATGAGAATTGCTAAGTAATGGCTCATTTGGCCATAATTTCTCAACCTAACGAAGTTGTAAACATTTTTATATCCTCGTCTTGTTCAAAGTGAGACATGTCTTTTTCATCCAAATGCACCCATGCTTCAATTCCAACGCTCTCTTTGCTATTCATGAGCGTGACGAGGTTTTTGATGGGAACATTTGCAACACTTGCTAACATGGGTTTTCCCCATCCGAAATCAACTTCATAAAGTCCTAGCTTGCTCCAGTCGGTAATCAAGACGACGTTTATGTTACCATTGACTGATTTTTTATTGAAACCCACAATTGTATCCACGAGTATCTTGTACCCATCTTCTCCGTTAGACAATATTTTCGCGCAATCTGCAACAGTTTTACGAACGTTATCGCCCAGCAAACGAACTAAACCCTGAAATCCCATGTTTTTGCCTTCATCAACGCTGCATTCAGTCATTGCTATTGCCACTAAGTTGCCAAAACAATATTTTGGAACTGGAGGAACTGTTCTTTCCCGAACACTAACAAGCTGCGCGACAAGTAAATTTCTCGATTGTCCATATGTTGTCAGGGCAACTACAGCCAAGAGCGCCTTAGTTATAAGCGCAGAAACAACTTGTACTCTCGAAGGTTGCTGATTTCCTGTTTTTCCTTCACTGACCTTAGCCCTTAGCCCTGATATTGCCTTGTTATCAAATACAAACCTCCTGGCAACAATCTTTGCAACTGGGATATGAATATCCCTGGTTCCTGTTTCTCCAAAATCAGGAGCAGAAAATTTTTTGCCGGGGAAAAACAAGGGGGAGTTGAAACGTGAGGAAATTGCTTCAATATTGTCACCTTGGCAAGCATTCGCCCAGGCAGCTACAAACATGCCAAGCGAGGATGCATCAGCAATCCTGTGGGAAATACTCACAGCAATTGCTATCCCGTCACATTTAAACTTGCTTACTTGAATTGCAAGCAGTGGTTCTGTGGCATCCTCAGTTGCAAAGCTTTGGCATGGAAGGAGATCGTTTAGCTCCTCGGGTTTTGCCCCGGTGCCGATAATCTCCAGGAGCTGGCAATCCACTTGAGCTTCAACAAATGCAGCACCCTGGTCACTGCAATCAACCAAGTGATCGTCCTTCATGTATCTTCCGGCAAGTGGGTAAAACTGAGGCAAGATTTCTGCCAATGATTCTTCCAGTTTGTTAATGATTAAACCAGGTGAATAGTAGAGAACTGCAAGCACGTTAATGGAGGGAGCAAGCTCATCAATGAACGATATTGTGTAATCACGAAAAATTCCAGGTGTCGGAATGCATGGTTTTATCAACTTCCTACTCAGAACCTGGACTTTCATGATTCTTTCTTTGAATGCTTAATTCTCTACCAAATTTGATGCAATAAAATGGAAAATAAAAATGATGAGAAGCCCTCTTGATTATTTGTAATTCAAATGGGCAAATTTTAATGTTGTCGGCTTGTGTTTGGTATTGATTCCTTGAACTTGCTTCTCTTTTATGTAGCCTAAAAAATATTAAACCCGTTCGGATTAAAATCTGATTTTAATTCAAGTCAAAGTCAAACAATTAATATTAATCACATCTTTCATGGGTCCCACAACTTTTCAACAAAGCATTTCAAAAACTTATATCACAATCTATTAAAAATCTAATTTTAATCCCCCACCAAACACCCTCTAAATCAGTCAAATGTCATCCCTTGTGGTTGGTGGCGTAAACTAAAGGTATTTTATACAATTCGTCTAATCTTGTATACATTAGCAAAAGAGTAACGTTGTTTAGCACTACTGGTGCTTAACGTTAACCTAAGTTGCAGCACTAGTGACAATAAATTACATGTTCAATTAAATGAATCACATAATTTCACATTTAATTGAATCAATCATATAACATCATCTAAACTGGTGTTCTAGTATCATATGTGTTAAATAACATTATTCTTAGTCAAATGTCCAACTGTGTGGTCGGGACATATTTTATGTAGCCATGAAATCACGAAATTACGAAAATTAATTTACATAATTAATTCATATTAAATACCAATAAGGCTTTTTTTTTTTTTCCTTTTTTTGAGTATGTGGACCTCCGTATGTACTTTATATTCACTTTTAATTAATTAATTAATTATCTCTCTGATTAACTTATAATTTAACCAAATTTTGGCACACGAGCATTTAAGATGAGCCTTTAGACAAAAAGTATGAATCCCATTTTTTTGCCAAAATTACATTTTGGAATAGTGATTTGAAGGAGAATGTGTGGTTAAAAAATAAAAAATAAAAATTTGAATTTGTGTGCAACATTAATTTATTGAAAAATGTGGGATTGAAAATAAGATACAGGAAAGTGTATTGAGGATCAAACAAGGGCTAATTTTATGTCAATATTTATTAATGATATTCGAAAATAAAGCCTTATAAATAACTCTCACGTAAAAATGAACAAAATAAACAAAGGAAATGATTAATTTTTTCTACCCAATACTTATTTTTTAGATATAATTTTCAATAAGTTGAAGCATTAATTATTTTTTATTTACGTTGACTTGGGGTGTTTTAAGGCATCACAGTTGGTTAATATTTTCCAAACTGTAGTTCTTTATATGAATTGGCGATTTAAACAAAGGAAAATGATTATTTAGAAATAAATATGGATACTTGCTGTAACGACCCGAACTTGCGTAGGAGCCATTATCATATCATACGTATTCTTCGCTTTGGGAGAGCCTGCACTCATCTTGCCCAATTAGTATCAGGATTCAACTTAAATCTCTCATATGATTGATGTTTTGGGTTTGAACCATGGGGGACGCGTTAGAAAGCCGTGAGGGGTAAGATGGATCTAGACTCTCCCAAAATGTACAGTACATATGATATGATAACTGCTCTGACGCGAGATCGGATCCGTACAAAAAAAATACGCATTTTTTTACATGATCAGGGACACGACGTCACTGTTCATGCACTATTCATGTCCTTTTTTTAGCATGACGCATACTACATGATATTTCCACCTTTCATGACATTGTTCACAATTATATATATATATACACACACACACGACGAGTCAATAATGCAATTTAGGTAACTAGCACAATTTTGACTCTAATGATTTTATTATTTAATAAATTATCACTATCTTGCTCTTAAATAACTCACACCTTCCTTTGCTAAAGAATAATTTATGTGTGCCTTGTAATTGAATATATATATATATATATGTTGTGTGTATGCTTGACTTTGAAAACTTTGCACTATTTATATTTAATAGTGATAGAACGAGAATTTATTCTCACACCTTCCTTTGCTAAAGAATAATTTATGTGTGCCTTGTAATTGAATATATATATATATATGTTGTGTGTATGCTTGACTTTGAAAACTTTGCACTATTTAATAAATTATCACTATCTTGCTCTTAAATAATTCACACCTTCCTTTGCTAAAGAATAATTTATGTGTGCCTTGTAATTGAATATATACATATGTTGTGTGAATGCTTGACTTTGAAAACTTTGCACTATTTAATAAATTATCACTATCTTGCTCTTAAATAACTCGCACCTTCCTTTGCTAAAGAATAATTTATGTGTGCCTTGTAATTGAATATATA